CTGGTGCACAGGTGTGAACGCAGATGACTCCAGATGCTTAGGTAGTGCTGGTACACTTTAGTCTAAAGGTATTTCTGTAGTTCTACTTGACAAGGTCATACCATTAAACATCATTTTTGTTGCCTTGTATAAGCATTCTGCTGCTATAAATAGTTGCATACTCTTCTGTTCTGTGGTTGATTTAGTACAATAAGAATATTTGCTGCCTAACATAGGGGTGGCGGATGAAAAGAGGAGAGAAATCAAGATTTTTCCTAGCACATTTTGGCAAAGATGTGACTTAAATGAGTGTGTTTGTGGATCTGTCATGGCATCTACTACCTGGTGTGTATGTGTGTTTGTGTGTGTAAATGTGTGTTTCTCTTTATCTGTGTGAATGAAAGCCTCTCTCATTCAACTCTGCCTGATCATGACTCATTCTTGGTATGTGAGTCATCACCTTTTTATTGGAGCTGGATTTGCAGTAACCTCTGACGATTCCCTGCACAGGCATGTGTTTGATGGTGATTGAAATTAATTAAAACACATCAGCAAGGCATAAAAAAAGTAAACAGAATTAAATGCTCCCTTCAGGTTCTGTTAAGAGTCAGCTTCACCGAGATGCACCTCTATACTGAAACGGTCGGTCACTAACGATTTAAAAGGTGTTTTTGTAACGCAAATTTACCTGAGCGGAAACTCTGGCAGCTTTCTACCAGACTCAACCAGGCTGCACCAGTCATGATGGGACTGCTGCACAGTTTTGTTGTTTTATATAGATGGCACTTTAGATTTTACACTTGATCTCACCATCTATTTACCACGGACAGATAAATGAAAAGCAAGAGCATTTCCAAAATTATATTTTGACAAGAAAACATATTTTAAAAGGCTAAAAAAACCTCGTCTAAAAAAGAACAACTCTTAGGTGTGCAGATTTCTGAAAGAAATGTGACTTTTAGCTTGGTTTAAAAAGAAACACCTTCAACTGTGTGTCAGTTGTACTTAATAATATTGAAACCAGGTTTGCATTAAGAATATATCTATTCACATTTAAACACTAAAGCCTTATTGCAAGCAGAGGTTTACCTAATTTTAATAGTAAATTATGTATTTAAATAATGTAATAATAATAATTTGTACTTTATTGGTCCCACATTTGGGAGATCCTTGTGTTAACAGCAGTTTTGTTGCTTAAACATGGTCTTCAAAAGAATTACAGAAACTTGCCTCTTAGACATGATGGGACTGTTGTAGGTCTTTTGAGCTCATCTCCCATGCAGACGAGCTGGGCTTGAATTGTTGCTACATAATGCTACTCAAGCCAGAAAAATATGGCCTTGACATGTGACACAAAAGTGTTCTGATGTCGATATGCACAGAAACCAGCTCAGGGTTATTCATTTCACCTACTTGAAATACTCACTACAGTGAGGTCAGGATGGACTCTGAGCTTGATTAGGCAATCTCATGAATTGACCACTTGGCTCCTTTTTTCTTGTCATACATTAATCTGTCCAAAACAGTTGAATGCTCAATCTTTTCCACTCCTAATTTGTAGATATTTGCAAATGTAGTCCACTGATTGCTCTGCTAATTGAGTCCTTTGTTCACTGAAGTTGAGAAGTTTATCATACAAATGAAATTCACAAAAAATAATACATAATACAGTTGGTCAATCGTCAGACACTGATGTTGGTTACTGAGGAAACCACACATATTGATAAAGAGGTGTGAAATAATGGAGCTAGAGAAACAGAACGAAGAGGAGGAAAAACAGAGGATGGAAGTGGATGTTGCAGCTGCTGCTACTAGTGGAGGTGCTGATGTAGCTGTGTATCACAGTAAAGAAGGGTGTAGCTAGGATATGAAATGCATCAATAATACATGAGGTTGTTCTTCAATATGCTAACATGAATTATTTGACAAGCCGAGGCAACCTGCTTTATTGTCTTATTCTCCTCCTGTCTGCACATCATCTCAATTTGTGGCCTTCTTTTCCTACTACTCGCTATTGTTACTGATTTTTTTTTCTCCAAATCTGAATAGAATCTCTCTTTTTCCTGGGAGCATCTTTCACTGAATAATCTACCTCTCAGCAGGTGTCCTGGTCTCCCTTTCTGTTTTGAGTGTTTCTGCCCTCTTTTATAGATTTTTCTCCATCTAAACTAAATCCACATGTTTGGTGTGAGTCCTTTCTGCCTCATCCTTTGTGTTGAAGGCTGTTTGAAAATCTCAGGCTTTTGGCAGATGGACTTTTGATGAGGAAGATGGCATCCGGTGGTGTCATAGACAAGACTCTCATATTTTTTTTACCCTCTCATCTCTGTCTCCCGGTTTACTGGTTTATCTGTGACCATGTTAAGGCATATTGCTCTGAGCAGAGGTTATATTGACACAGGCAAATTGCATCCAGTCCACAGAGATTGTGTAAAACAGTGTTGACCTACCTAAACCAAAGCCTTTATGTATCAGCAGATTTACTTTCAAACCTCACATTTCTTCACATTCCCGAGGCAACGAGCAAAACAGCTCAGTGTAGTAAGTCATCTTTTAACTCCTACATAGCATAAAAAGGCCAAATACTGTACTGTTTGTATGTGTAAGTGTGAACTGACTGACTCACACAGATGGTTAACAGAAACCTGGACTAAGTTGTGCCATAAACCCCGGTCCCTGGAAATGGAAAAATCATAAATAAATGATCAAAACTGTGTGCAAGCTGATGTTTGTGTCAAAACTCGCTCTAACAGACAGGAACCAGAGCATGCAGTTTCTGTAAAACTCTCCCATGATCAAGATTTACTATTAAAGTCATGGGTAAACATTGTCTAAAATAAATTACTGTCAACAGTCATTTGTAGATCTCCTGCAAATTAATGTAATTTCTTTGCACAATGTCAGCAGACACAGCAAAAGAAGGGAGAAGCGAGAACAAAATCAAATTCCTTATGCCCTTTTCTAAACAGTCCCAGAACTCTTGGAAGCGTGTCAGTGCAACTGAGACCAACACACGTTGCCCACAAGCATATTTGTGTTTCCAGACGCACATTCTTAGATGCTCAAACGAGCCAGTGTGGTTTGATTCTCTGCCAGATCAGGAGCTGGCAAACTGGCAAATTCTCAGATCATTTGAAGTCAGCTGAACAGAGACTGCTTAAGCACTGACGTGCTGTTGGGAACCCTGAGGCCCGAGTTCTCAAAAGCATGAATGTTGGCTAAAGCTCATTTCCAAGAGACAGGAAGAAGTTGAGATATCAAAGACTTACACAGGGGACAAACACACAAATTCAGGACCAGACCTTAGAGACTTAATCCAGGTGCAAACAAAAGTCCTGCCAAATTTTTATCATGTTTTTAATCACATTCATAATCAAGGTATGTTTCTGGAAGCGCAACTTGTTTCAGGAGCTTTGTTTTTTTTCCCAATTTTTCTCAATACTCATTCTCCAGCAGCAGAACCTAAAGTTGACACTGAAACTATCAGTGGAATTTTTATGACATCTAACTATCAAAGATTAAGACAGGTCAGAATAAGCTGATGAAAAAGTCCCATTTAATTTAATTTTTATTTATTTACTTTTTGCATTAGTGTCACACGGTGTCTGGCAGTGCAAACAGGCAAACTTTGCAGGCAAGAATGATTTAATTATTTAACAACATCTCTTGTTAAGTGTATAAAAGCTGTGTCATTTGTGTTATTGAAAAAAAAGTGTTTGTGGCTACAATTACTTCTTGACATGTCATAAAGTTCCAAATATTTTTCTAAAACTGTGGTCATCCTCACAGTTCAGCCAACTATAAAGTGAGGTTCACCACAATGGATCAGAGTTGCAACAACAACAACAAAAAAAAAACTGTCACCCTTTTTTAGGAAGTGAAATACAGGAAGTGAATGGCAGCACAGAGTAGTGGATTGTTTGACCTTTGCAGCAAGTCAACCTGTTCCATAACCTGTTTTACAGCATTCTTACCACAATCAGTCAGAGAAACAAACGTCATGAAAATACTTCTGTGCATTTTAAACAGGAAATTCAAATATGGCATCAGTGAATCAACACATTACATCACTGAGATTTTTTTTCCTTCTAGTTCCAAGACAATGCACGTAATCCTGGTGCCTTTGAATGTTTTCAAAAATTAAACAACACATTTTTGTTTGTGCTGTACTTAATGACTGGCACTAAAATCTTTGAGGAAAATAGATGTAAACTAGTTAAGTTCTATACTTCAACTCTGTACTTCAGCAACTGAATAAGGCTTTGTAAAGATTAGAAGAATTAGCAGAATTAGCAGTTGTTTTAAGTACAAATTACGTAAACTCTCAAGTTTCCGAAATGGCCAAGTATTTCTAAACCTATGCACAAAGGGTGGGTTGTATTGGAAAGGGCAGTCAGGTAAAAAAACAAAAATGTGACAGTTTTAATGGGCGGCTCCCTCTTTGCTAATCTTTTGCAATGTTGAAATCCGACAGGGACTCTTCTGTGTGAAAACATCCATGGTTCTTGTATTAGTGCAGGAAAGCTCTCCAGATCTAGTTTTAGCTTTGGGTTTAATCTCATTAACATTTAAATGAGTTTTTACTAATACATTGATTCAATTTTGCTGTCAATCATCAAACTTTAATTATTATTTCCTCTTCTAGTGCCTTCTTTTTTTGACAGTTGTTCTCCGCCCCTCTCCTTTTATAAATTACAGGGGGAATAAGGAAACAGCAGGAGAACAGTTTTTTTTTTTTTTTTAAACATCCAAAGCTCTGCCTGAGGCGATGTAAGGACGCATAGGTTAGACTTTCATAAACAGATAATGGAGCTGTAGTGACGCATGGGTTAAATTATCCAGTTTATGGTGTTACCGACTCCTGGGCTCTTAGCAGCGTAGCCTATAACTGTTGACCAGTTAGCAGTGTGTTCAGAGCAATGGGCCTCAGCAGGCCAATCAATTCACTAACATCAAGTGCTCCTGTTTTAGATTTATACATTTAAAAAAAAATTAACCTGTTAATTTGTGTTTTCTTGCAGCGCTTCATCCAGTACCTAGCATCAAGAAACACTCTCTTTAACCTACACAACTTCCTGGACAAGGGAGCTCTGCAAGGTAACACACATACACGCATTAATTTTTTTAAATTACCTCATTTTTTTAGTGACTTTTAAGTTACCTTCAGAGTAACTTAAAAAAATTTGGTGAAAATTATCTGTGCCTTTTTTTTCCTGCAATTTTCAGGTTAACATTTATTCCATATCTATTTTTTCTATTATTTTTTTTATATTAAGTGTCTTGTTACCTCTGTGTGAGTTTTTCGTCTTTCTGTTAGATAGCAGTCGTCTTGTATAAATATTATGTATATGTATACAATTTCAACCATCTAAAGCCTATCTTTTCACAGAAGAAAGGAGCAATTTATTTTACAGGACAGGAAATGACAGGAGTAATTTGTAGCTGTCTGAGGTATCTAACTGACTTGATCCATTATATTTCTCTAAGGTTACGACATGTCGACTTTCATCAGGCGGTACAGCCGTTACCTGAACGAGAAGGCCATGTCCTACAGACTGGTGGCTGTTGATTTCACCAAGATGAAAAGAGGGTAAGAGAAGGTCTCCCTGCGTGCAAACACACACACACACACACACATCTTCACACTAAATCTTGTCATCGGCTACAAGGTGGCCGTTATGGCTCAGACATAGACAGAGAAGCTGAGAAAACTGCCTTTTTGTCATTTTCTCTGCCGAATCAGCTTCTTTTTTTTAAAAGTCAGTGTAAAACATCCTTTAGTGAAGCATCATTTCAGCCTTTCTCCAAATGCTTTATTTTAATTTATAGGTTTCTTTTTGGCAGTCAACACATTCAGGTATGTGAAGAGTTGAAGATTGCAATATTTGAATTTTTGGGCAGATTTTATACGCAGATCATTGACTGATTGTTGTCATAAATGTCAGCCAGTGCCAGTGTGAAAGAAGAGCTACAGGATTTATTTGTGAAAGGACTTATTTTTGTTTCTTAATGTTATGTAATCGTTTTTCAAAATGCCTGTTTAGAAACCTCAATACCAGGCACACACATCTAGTATGTTGAGAAGTCTGTTGTCCCGGAGGACACACATCGTCCACACCTCTACATCATACAGTGTCTTTGTTCATGTGAAGACACAGAAGAGTATTGACCAGCCAACAGAATGCCCTTGGTTTCTTCTACAAAATGTTTAGAACAACCTTCCTGCAGAGTTCCTTTAAAACTGGAGTATCTAGATTAAATGAGGAGAAGGTTGAGGATTAGTCACATCCAACATGACAACATTTTCATTTGCTTTCTGCTAAACTCCTTGACATTTCATGTGTCTGTGGGGGGAAGTGAAAGCATTTTCCACACCTTCCTGAACAACCAAGCACACTACTGTGAATAAGAATCATCTTTCTTTGTTTTCCTCTGTCAGCGTTGATGGAGTGATGCGCACCATGACCACGGAGAAGCTGATCAAGACGCTACCCATCATTCAGAACCAGCTGGATGCACTGCTGGATTTCCAGGTGAGAAATCCAGCAGTGTGCGTGTGTGTATGTGTGTGTGCATGTGTCAATCGTGGTATGATTCCCTCAAAATGTAAATTAAAACAAGTGATTATGAAGGCTTGATGATTTCTCTTCAACAATGGAGTTAAAGAAGCATGCTGGGAGATGGAAATGTATGGGTATGTTGGAGTGTGTGCTCTCAGGCTTTAAAGAAGAAAAACACACAGAGATGATGAAGATGATGATTTTCTTCACTTTGGTCTCTACAGTGGGTCTATGCTCTGTTGTTGTCTTTTATCACTACCTAAACAAAGCTGACAGCTGCTTGTTGAGCCATGATCTATGTGACAGCTGTGATTTCTTGGAAGAAGATGTTTTCTGGGAGATCTCTCTTTCTCTCTCTCTCTCTCTTTCTCACTTTCTCACTTATGTTTTTCAACTTTTTATGTATCTCTATATTTTTCCCAGTGTTCATTTTTTTACCACGATCTCCCTATCAATCAACCAAAATCTTTATCTAGGTCTCTCCCTCCTTTTATTTCTGTTTCTCTCATTCTATCCCACTCTATCGTTCTCACAATCTTTCCCTGTCTTTCATTTTCTCTCTCTCTTTATCCCACTATTCCCATTGTATCTCCATTTCTATCTTTCCTTCTTCTGTCCGCCCCTCTCTAACACATTCTCTCTCTCTCTCTCTCTCCCCCCCCCCCATCCCTCTCTTTCTGCCTCTCTGCCCTCTTAGGCCAACCCTAATGAGCTGACCAATGGAGTTATCAACTCTGCCTTCATGCTGCTCTTCAAAGACTCCATCAGGCTGTTTGCAGCCTATAATGAAGGGGTCATCAACCTGTTGGGTAAGACACCTGCCCTCTCACCCAACGTTAAGCATTTGCACACACACATCTCTCTGTACACTTTGTTAAATCTGCTCAAGCTTTTACCTGAAAATGTGACACTGGACTTGTGCACTAATAATGTAATGTTGAAGTGGTCTATGTCTTCTTCTCTCCTCTGTCTCCAGAGAAATACTTTGACATGAAGAAGAACCAGTGTAAAGATGCTCTGGACATCTACAAGAAATTTCTATGCAGGATGACAAAGCTGTCAGAGTTCCTCAAAGTGGCAGAGGTGAAGTCACACACACACACACACACACACACACACACACACACACACACACACACACAGACTCTCCTGCATCTGTTTTAAGGCTTACCTATATTTTAGACATGTGTGTTAGCCAAGCTAACTCATATTTGCTTTTTGGTTTCCTATCAACTGCATTCTTCAGTCTCGTTGCTAGGTGTTTGCATAGTGTTCGGTAACTTCGAATCAATTAGTGTTTATATTTTTGTCTGTGTACATTTTTAAAGTACGTTTGTCTGTTTAAATTATTTAGGATTCAAGTTCTTTAACTCTGTGGAGCTGCAGCTGTGTATCTGAAGCTCTTGGGTGAACACAGATTTACCTGGACTACCCCCACTGCCCTAAATTTGCTTTATGTACACACACACATATTGTGTGTACATTATCCACACTCCCACAGACCCAAAATAACATAAAGATGGAGGACTTGGTTCGCTCCTTCTCCTCCTACTCCCTACACTCCTCCATCCATTTCCTTTCTCCTTCCCTCTCCCCATGACAAAGACGGATACTGGTGCGACTCTCCGTCTCCCACTACACACAGATCATCCCTCTTTCTTTCTCACGTTCTCTTCCTTCCCTCTCTCCTTTGTTTCATCCATTTTAAGCACTAAAAAAAACAAAGACCAAAGTTGATTTCCCTAAGCAGACTAAATTCAGGCTAGAAATCTATGCAGAAATGCAGAAAATTAGTTTCACTGCACAAAAAAATACTTTGACATGAAGAAGAACCATTTATTTCTGTAGGCGGTATCTTGATTATTATTTTTTTTTCATCATGTTGCGTATTTTGCTATTAATGCTATTATTTTATAGTAATTATATTATTACTTAATAAAATGAATTGTAAACTACCATCAGGCAAAACAATATATAAAACTGTCTGATATAATTAGTCTTGATAGAACAATGCCAGAATTATAATGAAAAATAATAAAATCAATGAGGAATCATACCCATACTATCTTTTTTAAGATGTGTTTTGCATGTTGTCATTCATTCGTCGCAGTGGTCACTCTCACCCTCTCATTGGTCCAACACAAGATTAGTCATTTCATTCACCAGTCCTGATGCCACAGACATTTTCTGTTTTATTTCTGTTGCTGTTTATGTTGACAGTTCCAATGCATGGAGTAACCAATCCCTTTGCTGTTTTGTTTTTTAATTTTTCTATCATTTTTATTCATCTATTCCTCCCACCTTTCTCCATTTTTATGTTGTTCTGGATGACAGGAAGTTGGAATAGATCAGGGTGACATCCCAGATCTCTCACAGGTCAGTGTACATCTCACTTGCCACTCTCTCTCCAACATTTTCCACCTTTTGTTTCTTTTTGAACAATATGTATCTGCCTCCATGTACTTATCCTCTCATCTAATCCAAGACCTCAGTCTTCAAATCCACTTGTTTGATTGACTTTTTTTTTCCTTTCCTGCTTTCCTTCTCCTTCTTCTAAATGTTCATTATGGTGTGAACATCATGCTGAGGTTTGCACTGTGTCGTTAGCAGACACCCTGCCGGTTTTTAACACGTGGATTTTAAAAGCCTTCAAGGACTTTGAATAATGGGGTCAGCCCTTGGATCCTGGATATAATAATAATTGCAACTAAAAAGACTTCAAAATAAGACTGGAGCAGGCAAGGGAATAAAGAGCGCCATTTCTGTTTTAATCCTCAAGGATAAACTTATATGCCAAGTTGTGTTCAACTTCAAAAGAATTGCTTAAAGTCTGTTTTTTCTAATCGTGCTAATTAAGGAGAAGTTAGCGAGGGAGTAAAGATTTTCACTCATGAAAGCACATGATGACAAATATTAGACAAAATTATCTGTTTTGGATTTATTCCACATAAAAGGATGGAAATCCCAATAATAAAGCAAAAGGTATTTATGGAACTCTACTCCTCAACATGGAAAACACTTTTGAAATATATCACTTCGTGCTTTTTTGGGGGGTTAAGTTGTACCACATACTGCACATTCTGGTGAAATAAAAATAAATAATAAAGTAAGAAATGATACAATTTTAATAAGAAACAATAAAATAATATAGTAATATAAGCCTTGTGTTGGTTGGTTGAACAGGAAGCACAGCATCCACCCAGTACTTCTGATATGTGCTCAGATTAAAATATGCCCTCCAACCCAACTTTCTGAAGATGAATGGGCTAAATTCAAATGTCCAATAAAAGAAAGAGATAAAATAATCATATGACACATTAAAAGAAAACAATTGGAGTAAAAAGGATTGGTGCATTTAAAAAGGAAAATATTTTGGCCAAACTTAAATCTTTGAGAATATGTACTGTGCTACGTGGATGAAACGATTATGGAGAACTGACAACAAAAACAATGTGGTTAGGGTAATGGTAAACTCTTAGTATGCACATGGACCCTCATCTGTCCTCTGTGGACAAAATCTGCTTAAGACGGTGTTTCTTTGACATGCTTGCGGATGCATACTTTGCTGGCTCACAGGAACGCGGATGCATACTTTGCTGGCTCACAGGGACAGAAAACTTAGAAAAACAAAACAAAAATTACACTTATGGGACTAAATAAGATTGGAATTCTGTGCAGGTTCAAAGCATTGAAAATAGTTTAAATTTTGAATTCAGCACTGCTTGGTGTATTGCTCAACATCCATACCAACCTAGAGCACACGTGGGAGTGTGTGTGCAGCAAAGTTTAAACTGACGTCCCTATTTACCTACCTAAATGGAGCGCATATTAGGCTAAAGGATTCCAGTTAGAGAGACTGCGTGGCTTTTTCCCTGAGGTAGTAACAATTCCAAAGTCATTGAACGTTATTAAGGTTTTGCATATACAGTAAGTCTTCAAGCCAAATAATATTCACAAAAGAGGATATTTTCCTTTTTGTCCATCACTGCAGAAAACTAAAGGATCATACAGTGTAGGTGGTGTGTTGCACACTGCATGGTTTAGACCCTGCATCTCTTATCTTTGTGTAAGCTATGGATTATACCATATCTAAGGACTCGTTTTCCCTCTAAATTGCCAAAACAACATCATGTTCCATTGAAGTAAACCTAAACATGGAGTTTGAGGAAAGTTTTCAACGTCTATGACAGCTGTTCTCAAACTATGGTACGGTTACCAGTTAGCATATGTGCTCCCTCCAGTGGTCATCAAGGGAACTTAATTTCCGTAAAGATAAGTTAAGATGAGATGAACTTCATCGTCGTTGTAGGTAAATACACTTTGCTGCAGTACAAGGCAATTGGTCTACTGATCCACATAAAGTGCAAAAAAGATGTATAAAGAAAGAGATTTGGATAAAATAATACACTGTTATTTACAGAATTAAATAGTTGTAGTTGTGTCTATATATATGTATGTATGTATGTATATATATACATATACATGTATGTATATATATATATATATATATATATATAGATATAGATATAGAGTTAGTCAGTGTCTGAAAAGCCGTCAAAGCTCAAGCAGCCATTGAGCTTTGCTGATGATATAAAAAGGAACACAACCAGGCACTGAAAATGTTTTATCTGTTTTTTTTCTGCCTTGAAAATCTTGTGGACTGTCATCTTGTGGTAGAGGTTTAAGGTGGTCAGATGTCAATTCCACCATAGTAACTTAGTGACACATTACACTGGAGCTAAATGTTATTATAGGCAAGGGACATTATTATGTAGTGAACACAGGTTGACAAATGCTGTTAGCATTGGCACAGGACAGGACACGGATGATTGTAATGCTACTTGAGATATTGAAGATGGAACACATTTTAGTGCAAGTCAATCGTAAATTGCGTGCTGTGCGACTAAATGTTGCTGCATGCTGGAGGTATTTCCCTGATTTGTTATTATCCAAGCTCCACATGTTGTGGAAACAGCTCTCAGTGTCTTTTTTTTATGCAAACCAAATAAGGGAGCGTGTGTGTGATGTCATCTCTCACACAAAAATACGTCATCAAGGGAATGAGTCGGGGAAACAGACTGGCATTGCTTAGGACCAATATTTTTGGTCACACAGTTGGGATGTGGTGTAAAAAGTTTGAGAACCACTGATCCATGATGCTAACACACATTTGTCCTGGATATCTGATCCACTCTGATACACTGACAGGCATGTTCATGCGTTTTGTAATGCCATGAGTGTAGCGACATGATGTTGACTCGCTGCAATACATGTGTATGTATGTGTGTGCGTATCTGTGTTGGCCTCGGGTGACTTGTGTGTGTGGTTGTGCGGCAGGCAGAGCTCTGACACGACGAGCGAAAGGGCAGAAAACCTCATGCATAGAAAATAAGGCTTCACCCTTCTGCCCTCTCTGCCTTCATCTGCATGAAGACAAATCCCTGCGCCCGAGTTTGCATTCGCTCATTAGAATGCCTTGTCTTGTTTAGATGTTGTTTATTTCATGTTTGTCATGCACGACATTGTTGCATCAGCATGCAAAGTGATGGTGCTTTAATAGCCACTAACCCCAGCATCACAGTGTAATTATTATCCAGAAATGGAAACGTGGGAAAGAATAAGAAGGGGGACTCCTGCGCTTCTAGCTTTTACAAATATCAAAGTCTCCGGGCCTTCAAAATAAGAAAAACTGATTCATCTGTTATTGTCTTCATGACACGTGATGTTATTTAAGACATAAATGCACCCGATGTACAAACCGTGGACTTATGCTTTTGTTTCTGTTTGAACTATAATTGCAGGTTTTCTTTGTAGGTTTAGGTGTGGGAAAAAACAGTGCTGTTTCTGTCCAATTATTGCAACTTATTTTAAACATCTGAAATTGATTTATACCTGATTTTCAACAAGAGTTTAGGCGCCAGTGTTAGGACTTTAGAGCCGAGAGAGCCCAAAGTTCAGGGAGTATTCACATTTAGTGTGTGTGTTTTTGTGTGTGTGAGAGACCTAATATTGACCAGGCTTACGCAACCTCTTCATGCTCCGCCTATTCAAACACGCCCTACAGTTAAATAGTGTATCTTTCTCTTCTGCCAGTCTCTGTTTCTCTGAAAACCAGGCAACGTTTTGGCAAGAGCCCACCCTTCCAGCAAGCCACAAAGGCCTTAGTGGCCAAAAAATGTGTATGTGTGCAGGTGTGTGTGTGTGTGTGTGTGTTTCTGGCTCTCCTTAAAGCACACTTCACATTCCTGTGGATGGAGAGGCAGACATGACGTTGTCACATTTTCACAGTACAAGAATTCCCTCCCCTTTCTCCCCAGCCAGAGGTCTTGTTTTTTCTGTACCCTTCCTGCACCGTGATGTTGAATTTTACATGTATGCATGATCGTCGCTGGTTTCCTGCTTGCTAATGCAGCTGTCAGCCTTACTTTTACCCACATATTTCTAAAGCTCAACTGGACTGTTTAAATGGAGTGGTTCTACTTTGCAAGTAAAAGAACTGAAGCAGATATCAGTTTTAATGATGACATATCTTGATGATTTTTGGGCTTATTATTTGGTTGTTAGCTCTTAGCAACTAGGTTTTTTCATGCCTTGCTTTCAATATTTTACTGAGCACTAAACAAAAAAATAAATGGGAAAGTATTTTACTAATCAGGTGAGACAATTTTCCAACAGAAGTCTTGGAAAAATAAATGAATAAATGGGACAGAACACAGTCAGCCATGGACAGAGCATTAAAGATGGTTCTGGACATAATATATAATATACACAAATGGGGGAACTAAAATCTTAACTTTATTATCCAGTAGTATTGATCAAGCTTTGAAATAATTCGTGGGGTTGAGGGGTGCGTTTGTAGGATCTTCACCAGAAGGCTCTGGGTTCTAACCAGCCAGATGAATAGATGAGCTTAAAAGAATTCCTCTCACTTTAAGTAAATCGAAGTAATTTATGACTTAAATTTGTATTTCTAAACTTTTTAACCATAAGTTAGTTCCCTCAAGTCATGTAATTGTACTGTCTTTGTTAAGATCGAAGGGTCTGCTTCTCATTTGTTCTCCACTGTGGTGTAGCCACTATTTGTAATGTAACCTGCTGCTTGAACTCAGTTTAATGCTTACAGTTCATTTCATTTTTTTTAACAAAGCCTGCTTTTGAAACTCTTAGCCTCCTGGAAATTATTCCTGGAAAGTAATTAAGAAAAGGTTAAAAAGGTTTAGGTGTAATATTGTTTTTTGTTGTTCCTTAGAAGTGGAATAGATAAGCATTGTTTGCGAAACTACAGCAGCAACGTCCTGAAAGTCCGAGGTACAGAGGGCGTCCCAGAGCTCATTGTGCGAGGTTGACAGAGACTTTGCAGTCGAAGTGAAAACACGGCAGGGTGAAGATAAATGTGGTCTGGGTGGGGGGAAAAAAATAAGGAGCACAGACGCTATCACCTCCTGCTCCTGTGAAGTGGGGTGCAGCCTCTCCTCTGTACTCCAGGAGATTTCTCTCATTCTCTCTTGTTCAAACTCCTCCTTTGTTCTCGTTCTCCTCTGAGTCTCCTTCTAACAATGTTAGTGTATCTTGCATGTTCACGTGGTTATTCTTGGATCCTGGGTTGCTCTGATACCTTCCTGTGAGACCAACTAACTCTAAGTGCCTGTTGTTTGCATATGCGCCGTGTTAGTGCTTCAGATGTAGGGCGCAGCCTAGAGGAGAACTGATGTACTCTCCTGGTTGCAAAAGGAACTGGTGGTTCAAAAGTACCAATATTTGAGTCTCACAATTTATTATTGAACAGTTGTTGGTGGTACCTAAACAATAATTGAATCATAAAGTGGTAGGTGAAACCCTAAGCCCTTCTTCAGTGTATGGTCTGTGACCAGTATTGGCTGCAACAGCCAGACCCGTTTGACCAGTTCCTGTTCCTATTTGCCAGCCAAAGCCAAACAAGAAGAATCATTCAGCTTGTCCTTTTATCAAGGGACCTCACACTGGTAGTCCACATATTAATTACTTCCTGATGAATCGATATTGAATATGGCAACTGAGATGCTCCTTATCTCCAAAAATTACCCACCTAAATATCCTAAAATCATTCATAAATAGCAGACAATTAAGGAGGAGCAACTTTTATTGCTTTCCACCACATAAATCTTGGGTATAAAGTTGTAACTAAACTCTGTGAAATTGTTTCAGTGACTTTAAAAAAAACAAGAAGAATTAAATAATTAAGAAGTTTACATTGCCTTTGTGGGTCACAAAGACGGCCAACATTTCTTGCAGACCATGCATAGGGACACGACCGTGAGTTTCTATTTTTATGCACATCTTTTTGCAACCACTGCAGTTTGTGCCTCCACTTCAGTGCCATCTATGGTGTGGCTCTTTAACTTAAATAAGGAAAGAAAGTGTTAACAGAAGTGTTTTTCTTTAAACAAAATGATTTTATTAATCATGCTTTGCATCTGTCTCGCAGGCCCCCAGCAGCCTCCTCGAGGCCTTGGAGCAGCACCTGGCCTCTTTAGAGGGCAGGAAGACCAAGGAATTAAACGCAGACACAAGGCAGGTGTCTCAGTGACTGAACCCTTTCATCGCTCTAACTCTTTAAACATCTGTAGGAAAGGCTTACATTTGTTTGTCTATGTCACCGCAGGGCGTCTACTCTGTCCAACGCCGTATCGTCCCTGTCCTCCACCGGCATGTCTTTTAGTCGTATGGATGAGAAGGAGAAACAGCAAGCGTTGGAGGAGGAACAGGCCAGACTGCAGGCACTTAAGGTAACCCTTGTTTTGAGCTCTCTTTGTAATACCAAAAAGAGCTGTAGTTGGAAATAGATAAGGACCAATATTAACGTTACAGTTGTGAGAACATTTAGACCAGGGGTCACCAACGTAGTAAAATAAAACTAATCAACGAGAGGGTAAAAAAATTGTTACTGTTACTGTGCTTTTTGAATCAGTTCCAGTTGCTCAAATTGGTGCAATGATGATGGTGAGAAGAGTGTCTTCTATTTTATGTCCCTGAACTGATTATTATTAGCTCTCATTTTCAAAAGGGTTGTAGACCCCTGATTTAGACCAAGGCTTTATGATTTATCAATGTCTGTGGTAACAATTAGGAGCTGCGTTGACCCTTTTGTTTGTTAGGTGCTTAAATGTCACAGAGATGTAGTGAGGTAAGTGAATGATTAGGAATTCCAATGTAAAGTTGGAAAAATTCACTTTTTTATATGGGTTTAGAGCTTTCAATTAAGTAGTCTATATGTTTTTTTGTCTAAATTTAGATTTATACTTTTGGATGGTATTCTTGACATTTTTCCACTTTAGATTAGTCACAAATAAAAATGGGTAAAACACTCATCTCATATTTATGTTATTTTAGTTTGATTAATCATGATTATTCATGATTAATCAGCAGCTACACTGGGGTTAATCACATTTACAATATTTTGGCAGCCCTAGTAAAAGATTTAAGTTGCAGAGTTCAAACAAACAAGTTAAAGCACATCAAGATTTCCTGCAGTATCTAGTTATTATGGTGAAGTAATGAATGTTATCTCGTGAACAATGAATGTTTTAGTTTACTCTGAAGTATTACTGTTGATCGACTGGGATAAATATTTCTAGGTGACTTCCTTCAGTAAATGATAGGGAGACAGACAGGCTGGGGGGTGTGTGCTCCTCAGATGCCCAGCTGGCAATTTGTAAACTGAGATTCGCAGAAGTTAACCATCTATTTTATAGGAACAGTTAAAATCCTTCATCGTTGAAATTTATCAAAAGTAATTTCAGGTGTTTCACGAACACATTGTTGCCCAAGCCACCACCAAGTTTTGACCCTGAATTCTTCCTACTTTATATAAGAACCCTTTGTGCCGTGCTGACTGACTGCGTCACCGTTTGGTGACACCTGAATTCCTGCCAGATATATAAAGGCCAAGAGTCTCGGTGGCGACTGGAGCAAAATACAAAATCGTGTGCAAAAATTTGTTGACATTTCTCGCTCCAGCCTTGGGAGTCCTGCCTTACAGCAAACTGTAATTGAGCAAGTGGCGACGCTACAAAACAGTCACACAACGACTCAGCGTGACTGTGTGTGTCTATTTGCACATTAAGCATGCACATCATCCTGGCAGCACAGATACAGTCTGTCTCTCATAGTGATTGCCAGTATCTGTGAGCTGTGCTGTTTGTGTACACACCCCTGGCAGATTAGACGCAGTGTGTGCTGCCAGTGTGTCTTGGTGTGTCTGTGTGCACGGCTGATTGGATGTTAGCCGTGCCCTTGGCTGCCCTGTTTCTGCCAAGGTCCACTGATTACCTTTGGATTTAAGTGAGGAAAGGAGAGTGGAGATAAAGTGCAAGTGAGAACATAACATAGCCGGGAACACAGGGAGGAAGCATGAGGTTTGTCAGGGTCGTCCAGATACACAGGTCCAGCTGTCTGCGCACCCTGGTGTCCATATGGACACACACATGCACAAACACTCACATTGTCAGCTACTGTCCAGCTGTGGCCGTGGCCCAAAACAATAACAGCAGCATCTCGTTTGTTCCCTGCTACAGTGTCAGAATATAAATGAAGGCTGCACTCAGCTCAGGCTGGTGCAGGAGGAGACTGTGTTTATTAATCTGCCAAAAATCCAAATTCCTTTAAAGCTGGACCACGGTGTAGAGGAAGTTGGATCATTTTCCCAACTTTGCTTAAAGAAACTCCTTTGAGCCAGTGTCAATGGATTTCACAAAAAAAAAAAAAAAGTCTAGTGTCTACTTAGGTGTAAATAAAACATATTAAGTACCCACTGTTATCAGACTGTACCTACAACAAAACAACCCCCAGATGACCTCAACCTTCTTCTTGGTCTGTCCAATAAACCACTTTTTAGAGAGAATATTCCATAGGTTTGTTTTGTTTTTTTCAAAGGCTGAAAAAATAAATTAAATAAACATCATGTTCTTCAATCAACCAGGAAGGAAAAAGCAGGAAACTCCACCTTCATAATGCTTCCTCTCAGGGACAGTTTAGTTCCGGGTCCCTGTGTTAGAAACAGGCCCAAACACACACATTTCCTGTAACTGCTCTAAATCATTGGTATGAGTTTCTGCACTGTAACCACATGGTTTCCTTCTTCCATCAGAACCAGTGTTTATTTTGAACTGAATTTATTTCCCAGTACATTATCAACTAGGATAAGACACAAATTTATTGATCCCTCTGGTGAAATTAGGTCATTGCAGAAAATGTAATAGGATCCAGCGGGAAATATAGGCAGATGGAGCAGAGCACAACAAAAAGGCAATAAAAACAGCAAGAGTGACAAAATCAATCAACAGAGCAATAAAGTATAATACAGTCACTTATGGGATAACTCAAATTGCCCTGACAGCTTTAATACGTAGTGAAAATTGCAGGGAGAGGTGTGTTGCACTTTTATCCAGGTTTAAAGCCACCGTCTTTGCACATGGCATTAAAAACCTGTTTGTCGGGCAAAGTGATTTTTTAAAACGCAGTGTTGAGAGGATGTCGAGAGCTGGATTTTCCTGCTGTTAGCAGCGTGTATCCAACTCGGCCTGCGGCAAAACATTCATATTCATGCAAAAAATAAAACACTGGGGGAAAGGAAAAGATATATCTTTTATTAAAACCACAAAATGTCAGGGCACCATCAAAGTGTTGAGTTTGTGCCAGAGGTTGTCAACAGGAAAGTACTTTTGGTTTACTTTTACATTTCTTTCTAGTGTAGTGTATTTCAAATACCGTGCATTTATTAATTGATTAAACACAAATGATAATCATTACTTTTATATAAACATTGCTCGTTTTATCAGACAGATTTTCTGCCCATTATATTACTTTAAATAATAGTCAAAAAAAGCCAAACTACTACTAAGTCTGTCTGCAGATATAATGTAATAAATACATTCCATTTGCTTTCTAACAGTCAACTATATATACATCCAGAGCAGAGATATTTTTATATAAATCTTTCAGACGCTTTTTGGAAGACTTTCAAAAAGTGTGGTTCACAGACAGTAGCACCATGTCTGTAGTGGGCAGTGGTGTGTTAGTGCTTAAGCAACCTTCTGGACTCCGGTCCAGAAGGTTGCAGGTTTGAATCCACCAGCTGCAGAGTTACCACTGAGGTGCAATTGTCCAATCTCCAAATGATTGAACTCTACACTCCAAACTCTGACCTAAAAATTTTAATCTTTAGTTTTGATATCAGTTTATTTTTCTGTATTTTCCACTAAGTTGTTTTAATACTTCTCTCTGTCAACAGCAAGTCAGGCGTCATTTCAGCTGCACCCTTCTGTCAGATAGTGTTTGTGGCAGGCTCAGGTTTCGCTGTCATGCTGAAAACTGCAGGCACAGTTGGATGAGTTTTTGTTGCTATTCTGAAAACAACATAACACTCTTGGCTTTAAGGAATTGGATTTAGTTGTCAGTTATTATCTGGAATCTGGTGAATTACTTCAGCACTAGTCGAGCTTGGCAGGAGAAACCAAGACAATGATTTTGGTACTTAAAGTTGGAGGCCAGCCTGGCGAGTCTTGCATCAGTGATCTGTGATTTTGGTATTTGGATTGACAAACTCAACAATACAACAATAAAAAAGAAAGCTTATCTAAAATAAGCTGACCAGTGAACAAAGATATATCATTGTTTTGGGATAGAAATAGTTTTATTAACTTTTTTTTTTGCTTCATGTGTCCACACCCCAGATCCATATTTGAAGGTTAAATAAAACTTGAATATCTGAATTTCTCCCTCACAGGACCAGCGCTTGAAGGAGATCGGCATGCAGACTCCGCCCTCTGCCTCTCCCAACAGCCAGAGGATAGGCATCGCCCATAACAACCACCACATCACACACACCCCGGAGTTGTTCACCTCTGCGCTGTCAACCAACAAGTACCTGTATACATAATCAAAACAATAAATACTCCGTGTACCCTCATACCATTACATGCTTTAAAGCTGGGTTCATGCTCAATGCTAAGTATGTATGCAGAGCCCTTTGTCCATCCGCTGCGTTATTGTGTGTGCATGATTTGCTACATTTTTGGAGAGCTTGCTGATGCGTACCCCATCACATGTAACGGAGCAGTACAACTGAAAATCAAAGGGGGCACTATTGTGCAATTCAGCCCACATACTCCCAAAAAAGTATGACAAAAAGTCAGTGACAATAATCTCTGAGCTTAGCACTGCCCTCTAGTTTATGTATTGCTTAACAGTCATGCCAATATAAAGCATGCATAGGAGTTATAAATGAACTGAAAAGACGTCATAAAGGGAGGATAGATCACACCCTTCAAGTCCTTAATTTTAAGACCTACCCATCCATCCCTCTGACAGC